CCTCACCGCTGCCTTGATTGTCTCAGTGCTGCGTCTGCTCAGCTCACCTGATCTGTTTCCCTGTCGCTGAATATGTGACCTCCAGCCCAGTATCAGCTCTCCTCACCTGCATGTTATTCTTCTTTGTGTGAACAGTCTCCCGGACGTTTTCTGTTATCTGGTGTAATTTTACTTTAGTATGGTCATCAGAACTTTTTTTTATTAAACCTTATTCTCATTTACCTCCTTGTCTGTGTCTGCATTCTGGGTCCATCCCGTAGTCAAGTTGTGACAAGGCCATTGCTTTGAACAAACAATCTCTGATAAACCCACTGTATACTACCAGCCAAGCACAAAACCACAAACAAAGTTAGCAATTATCAAACTAGTAGTTAGCAGTGTGGGGGAGTAGTGAATTAAATTCATAGTTTAAATACAGCATATTTTGTAGCAGGTTGCTGGTAGCTGGTAGTCAACTACATTTACATTTGCATAGTGATTTGAGTTGTTAAATTCAAGTGGTAGTTTTGCCATTTTTTTGCATAGTTAACTGCTGAGACTACAAACAATTTTGGGCCTTTAAAGGAAAGGAATGACTTTTAAAATTTGCTTACAACAAAAATGTAACATTCCTTTTGTCCTTGTGGAAAGCCCAAAGGGGATTGCTTAGTTTAGGAGAGGTTTCGGCCTCCTGAGTACTCCAGGAAGCTGCACAGTCAGCTTACCTGTAAAAGATATTTGGCTATAGTTTTTAATGTTTTGAATCTGTTAAACTAAATTTGAATATATTAGATATCAGTCAGTAATAAATAATATAATTTGTTATATAATTAATAAATGTTCAAGCAAACATGGTGTTTCAGAAGATACCAGGCTAATTGCTTGGTGCAATACCTCAACCAGGACTTTTCTAGAAGGCATGTGTCTGACAGATAGACACTGTAAGCAAAAACAAAGCTGACATTCCTTGCACTTTTCCATGAATAGCGGGGTATCTTATATTATTGGTTTATATATGACCTATGAACAAGTAGAGACATTATGCAACAAACTCACTTGTGGCATTTTTGCTGGTATGTGATGCTTCTGTGACTATTTTGTATTATATTTTATAATTGTTTTGTATCACATGTACAGTGTTAGTTTCATCATTTTTTGGAGTAGCTTTAATTAATTAACCCAACTAGATTTCTTCCTAGGGTAGCTTTGCTGTAGTTCAACTTCTTTCAGCACTTCATGCTGGAAGAAGTTTGAATGCTGTGCTTTCAAAGTAGCTGCCCCAGCTCTGCCAGTTTATGAACATAGGGGAGGAAAGAAGAGCACTAAAAAGTGAATACTAAGAGTGACTCCGTTCTTAGCCACAAACATGACTCCAAATGCTAATGCTGCTCCAAGTCTGTTGGATGTGTTAATATGCAACTAACATACTAACATGTTACCTCTGAAAGCTTGCCAAGGTAATAATACTGTACATGTTGTTTAACAATTGTTGTGATGCCCTATGGATCAATTAATACTGCTTTAAACAGCAGTCTTCTGAAATAAACTTCTAAAATACAACATTAAACACAGGGTCAGCTCAGAGTGTTTTACCCTTAAGGTGTCAAATTTAGAGGATTGAGTACAGGACCTTATGAGGAAACAAGTACCTAAAAATACACTGGGATCAGTACTGTTTTACAGTGAGACAAGTGGGCACATGCGAAACACCCAGTGCTCTTTTACAGATGTTGATGTTTACTGATTTCAGCAACTGTTTTCCTGGAGTTCTGGAAAAAACGTAGAGCTGTCCTTGCATACGACTGGGACCTCATTGACTGGGAGGAAGAAGAGGTAAAGTAAATACTTCACATGGTTATTTCAAATTTTGGTATTTCTTTATCTGTAGCTAATCTCCCAAATCTAATACATGTTGTGAGAAGAATTTTCAAAAATGAAAAGACATTTGCTTCCATATATACTGTATCTCTGTTTAGAGTTTGTTCTTTGTAGTTACATTTATTTAACTTGTTGCTCTTTGGACCTTTGGCTTTGCCTAAAGATGTTTCAGCTTAAACACTGACAGCATTTGTTCCATCACAGCAGCTCTGTCCTTGACACGTTTGTCTACTTGTTAGAAAAATTTAACAAGGTGAGACGAAGGAATGCTGAGACTTTTGAAAATTATCAAGGCATCTTTTAATATTCTTGCAAGAAGGAGCGCCCAAACTGCGAATGCTCACAGGAGCATTCTCCTTGAGAGCAACTTATACTATTCATTGCAGTTTTAATGCTCTATGTTCTGCCAGGCAAGCATTTGTCCCCTCCAGTCATGGGGGTTCGGGTCATCATCGAGTCACTATGTGTGTTTTCTTATCAGCAGATTGCCTGTGTCCTGACTTCCCAACCTAAACTTTTACAACAGTTTCCTGGTGTTAAGGTTTAGTCCCCCTCACCAGGAGGGTGAGGGAGAACTGAGGTTGGACTCAAGAGTGCTGACCCAGGTGCTAGTAAAAAAAACAGGTGGTTTATTGGTGGGGATGACAAAAAGGAACAGAGTGGAGGAACACATACAACCAGGGCTGAGCAAATACGGCTGAGGAGAACAGGACGACCAGGGGAGTAGACAGGCTAACGGCAAAAAACAGGAGTGGGAGGAACAGGATGGACAGGGGAATAGACAAACTACCCAGGAGGATTGGCGAACGAAAAAGGACATCCACAGCACAGGAACTGTCAGCGTGGACATCTAGAGACATGTAACACAAAAACAGCAGCACAGGAACTGTCAGCGTGGACGTCTAGAGATGAATAACACAAAGCATTTAACCTACGTACAAATTGAGATCCACAGCACAGGAACTGTCAGCGTGGAAGTCAAACGACGTGCCACATACCACAACTATAGGTCAGTTACGGGGTATGCAAATTAATCAAATTAATGCTCTGGCGACGATGGAGCGTCTGCCAGAGGTATAAATAAGGAAGAAGGTAATCATCGGGATACTAATTACTGAAAGCAACACAGCTGAGGTGCAGATCCCACAGGATCAAGAGAGCAGAGTAGAGAAAGGAGGAAGAGAGGCAGGTCGCGCCGAGCGGACCTGACACCTGGCTGCTTTAAGCTAAAGAGCATCCTTTTAAAATAACTGCATAACATTTGTTCATAGTAAACATTAGTTACACATAAGAAAAGCTGTGTACAGTATTTTTCCATCACTACTCATGCCCTTTTCCAGTCTTTGTCATTCTACAGATATATATTTTAAAAGGTGGGATTGCTGTACTGAGAACCTGCACCAAGAGAGTCAGTTTCAAATCAGTTTGTGACTCACTGAAAATGTCATTTTAAAAAATGAAGGGCTTATATAAACTCAAACCTCCAACACAGTTGTCACTGTAATTTAGTTGTCATAAATTTTAGTGAGTTTATATTGTACAGTAGTATTCTTTCCTGTCTTATGTTATCAACCTCCAACCCCCATCTGTCAATCAGGCTTTATGGGTGTGAAAATAACTCAGAGTCTTGAACTACTTTGTACAGAAGGAGCACCCAGAAGACAGAATAAACTCTCTGATTGTGGTTTTTGCTCATCAGATCAATTGGTCAAACTTGTCTTTAAGCATATCTTAAAGATATAAACGTCTGGATGACCTGTATTTTCTTACTTCTAAACTCTGGCAAAACCAAAGTTATTGTACTTGGGCCTGAAAACCTTAGAAATATATCTAACCATATAGTTATTCTAGATGACATAGCTCTGGCCTCGAGTACTGCTGTGAGGAACCTTGGAGTCATTTTAACCAGGATATGTCCTTTAAATCAAGGACATATCCTTGAGTCTCTAGAACTGCCTTTTTTACCTTGCACAATATTTCCAAAATCAGGAACCTCCTCTCTCAAAGTGATGCTGAAAAACTGGTTGATGCATTTGTGCCCCCATGATGCTCTAAGCTCCTCTCCTCTCCTTTCCTCATCTCATTGCCCATGCATTTATTGGCCACAGTGTCTTTATGTGTTGTTTCATACACTATTACACAAGTGGAGTCCATAACTTCTTTCACATTGTCTCTATTGGTGGAACGGCCTGACAACCTGATCAGAGATTTGTGCTTAATTTTGTTCACTTGTGTCTTGTCCTTTGCCTTTCAGGATGAAATACGCCCCCAGTTTGAGGCCAAATATTCCAAGAAAGATAGAATGAACCCCATATCTGGAAAGCTTGAACCTTACCAGGCCTTCACAGATAAATACAGTCGCCTTATTGTCTCAACATCTGGGATGTTCTTCATGGTGAGTTTCTGGAGTAAGCAAATATCAAATAGCAGATGTGCCACTAGCCTTTGTATTTTACAATGTCTTTGGGCTTTATTTAGTTTAATGGAACATCATGTCTTTCTGGTATTAATATTTAAATATTCTTTATTTTGATGGCAATACTCATTTTCTTTGCATATGAATAAGTTTAGGCAGCACGGTGGCGCAGTGGTTAGCGCCGTTGCCTCACAGCGAGAAGGTTCCGGGTTCGGGCCCCACCTGGGACCTTTCTGTGTGGAGTTTGCATGTTCTCCCCGTGCTTGCGTGGGTTCTCTCCGGGTACTCCAGATTCCTCCCACAGTCCAAAGACATGCAGCTTAGGTTGATTGGTGTCTCTAAATTGCCCATAGGAGTGCGTGTGTGTATGTGTGGTTGTTCGTCTATGTGTTAGCCCTGCGATGGATTGG